AAAAGGAACTCTTTCCAGACCCTATATCCCCAAACATGTATGGTGCGACGACCACCACCCTTTAAAGAAAAAGAGACATGTGCACAAGGCCAGAACAATGTGTCATATTTGATCAAATTTGATTTAAAGCGAACCTAAATGCGGCCTTAATTTATAGTTGTGTATATCCTAAACTGTATTCGAAATAATATTGCAGTGGTTTAATTTTGTTTTAATTATAACTGTAGCTTGGATAGGCATTTGAAGTGCTTGCAATTAAACACCATGGAGGCCATTCATGGAGGGGAATAAATAACGAACGAACATATTTAACATCCGGGTACTTTTCAAAACTATGACGTTTTAGTATCTGATTGCATTCGTATACGCCATTGTACATAGCCGTTCATGCTGCCAAGCATTGTGTACTACTACATTTAGTATAAACTCAACTTTTATATGCACAATGTGCTTTTTAAAACTTGGGTTAGAGTCTTATGTGTTTGAACCACAGTATTCTGAGAGTGAAAACCCAGTTACGTTAAAGTACCGTACTTCCCCGATCGTAAGCCCCTCCCGAGTATGAAGCCCATCCCTATATTTTTACTTGGTATTTATTGAGTTGAGAGCATTCACGATTATAAGCCCAGAGTGTTTTTACTGGGCGTCGATGATATTCTTTAAAATATGTGTGTAAAAGATGTGTTTCATTTCATAATAATCGTGATTGGCATGGTAGTTTGGTTCATGCTTTTAGTTTTATGAGAAAACTCGCATTAAATTCAGAGTGCATGGCGAACGTGCACAACGTGGTTCGCATCCTTTCTATTCTGTCATTTACTCAGGATGAACCCCGATGTTGCAATTCTGAAGTAATCTATATTTCTTTGAGTAGTAGCTTTCGAAAAGCCAAAAATGTGATCGTTAAGTCGTGTACCTGGTTATTTTTAGGGAAAAAATCATCGTTTTTTCGTTGCAATCAGTGCTACAGATCGCATTTTAACATTGCGGTAATTCACTTCCGCATTGCGTTAAAAAATCATCATCAATAATCGGAAAATTTCATCATTACGACACATCATTTTGATTGGTTAATGAAAGACATGACCTGTTGTGTCAAAGGAAATTGTTCCAGGTCAAATCGTGCTGAAAAACCTCGTGGTGGAAAATTGCTTTGCGTCGTGAGTTTGCGTATGATCGAAAACATACCAAAACGAAGATAATGATAAATGCCTTCGTCCACTGTTTCCTCACAGACCCTACCCATTATTTCACCGTAAACTCAGACGGTATATAAATCGTATTGTAATAAAATGTGTGTTTTTTATGAACATGTTTGTTTCTTCATTGTAAGTGTCGTTCAAATCAATGACGCATTTTTTTTCAAAAATAAGTATAATTTTTTTGGATAATATTTTGTTATTTGCAAGATGGTTACTGTGTTTAACCCCAAAACAAAATCATTTTTTCTGAGTTGGTCCTTGAGTACAAGCTCATCCCTTACTTTTCCCTTACGTGTTCATGCCTCCGGGCTTATGATCATGGAAGTACGGTATAATGTGAAGATTCAGATCAGTCCAGTGTGAGTGGTGAGAGTATATCGTCGACGATGCCCCTTGATAGTTTTATTTAAAATTACACGGAAGTCTGTGAACAATCTGCTTGGTTTTCCTGTGACACTTGTCCCATGATTTGCCAGTGCAGCCCCGTGAATATATGGACGAAAATGTTTCCACCACCACCCTACGAACTCAAGATTGCATACTCCAGCATCCATACTTTGAATAATTTGCACGCCGCACAGTGCAGTACTGGAAACAGCATTTATTAGACAGTTAGACAAAAAACAAAACAAAATGCCTGTCTCGATCAATCGCACATCCATAATGTTTGTATGTTGATACGCTTGTAAATAACATTAACGTAAAAGTCGAAACAACCTAGACTAGAAGTCAATTTACCTGTCCAGCCAACTATGGCTCCCTAAGTTGCTTATATTTAATCAGATACTATTTTGTCATCATGCTTTGTTACCTTATCTGTTTATACCTCATGAGAGCGTTTTTTTATGGCATGATAGCGCAAACGGAAGTCCTTCGCAGGTTTATGG